GAGAGTCAGCCGAGCATTTGTAGCACATGCAGCCGTTCGTGTGCCTCACCACCGGACGGTTTTGCTTCAAGGCGATATTGTCACTGCCAAGCGCACACAGATCTCACTGATTCACGAAGACACCCCGCATGCAGTCTGCACGCGCGGTGACGGAAAGGACCGGGCGCTTCGACAAAGCACTTCACACACCCTATCGCTTTGGCGCCAAGCTCGCATTCGCGATCGCATTGACAGACGGCGCCGCGTGATCTTCTCTTCCTGGGGTGGTTGAGAGGCTCCAACCGACCACAGGCATCCAGCCGAAAGAAAAAAGGAGCGCGAAAACCGAAGTGAGTGGCTCACGGTGAGTTCGAGCAACACGACAAGCGCCCAGAGGATTGATGCGTCATGACGTGGTGATGTGATGTGTTGTGTGTTGGCTGTGTGTTTCAGAGTCTGCTTGGTGCCTCTGCCACAACCAACTGCTGCCATTGTGATGTGTGATCTGGTGCCTGAGGAGCTCTGGCGTGAGCGGATTCTGCCCTCCCTTGTCATCTGTGACGTCATTGCCCTGCGAGCGACCAGCAGTGCCAAGGCGGCTCTGATCACGGCTGGCCTGCTGCTGCAGCGCATCGACACATACCTCGGCCGCCACGAACTGAGTGGCACTGTTGATGTCAACCGCAACGCCTCTGCTGTTGCTGGCGATATCGATCAGCCTAGTGGCTTTGTTGCCGTCGTCCGTCACTCACTGCTGGCATTTGCAAGACGGCTTACCTGTCGACGTGCAAACAGGCTGACACACTTCGGCTACTTGGTGCGATGCCTTTATGTGTTGGAGCAGGGCGGCAGTGAGTGGCGTGTGATGGGCATGGCTGTCCGGCTGGCCGCCATCTGTCGGCTGACCCCGAATGGGCTGCCCTTGACCATGTCGGTGGCTCACCTGTGCAGCCGAGCGGCCTTTGATTCGGTGCCAGTGATGATGGCCATCTATCGGCTGATCGGACATCAGGTGACACACAGAGGACAGAGCCTGGCGCTGCGGCGAGCCGCCAAGGGAGAGTACCGGATCGGCGATTATTCGTGTCGGGTGGTGCCGTTGGCTGAGCTGCCGGCCGACCATCCCCACCGCAGCACATACAAAGAGAGCGATCCGGCAATCCGCCGGGGACGCTGGCTTCATCCATCCTTCACGGCATTCCTCACCACGAGGCCTCTGATGCGGTGGCCTGATGAAGCGGGGGTGGTCTTCAAGGAGGTGCTGTTTGCAGACATCGACCGTGACGACCCCCGCTATCAGAGGCTGGTGACAGCTGGCGACATGTCGGAGCAGCTGGGCATCACGGCTGACTGCCGCTTTGACCGCGGGGACCTCAATACGGCCGATCCGATTGACCATCGTTATGTGATTGTGAGCGGCTTTCGGCCCACCGATACCGTCGCAGCCTTTATGTGGATGGACAGGGGGGACATCGGCCTGTGGACGACCGAGTCGGCTGCTGCCGGTGTGTCTGCCTCCCTCGATGAGCATTTCCCGGTGTCGATGCCCATGTGGCGGAGTGTGCTGAAGCGATTCAGCCTGGAGGAGGACGTCATGAACAGAGGGAGGGAGCCAACCTAAGGTGTGATTTGTCAAGGGTACGTCGGTCAGTCTGACTGACTGTCTATGTGCTGTTCGCCTGTATATGTGATGGCTCCACATCCGCCAATATGTCAGTGACGAAATCGGCGGTGGGAGTGCGTCTTTGTGAAGCTGACAGTGTGTGTCTGTGTGTGTGTGTGATTCGTTGATCCAGCCGGGCGTGTGAGTGGGAGACGAATGTGTGTGTTTGTGGAGACGCAATATTGTATTGGACCTCATGAATGCTCCGACTCAGACGACACAAATCCACACACTCGACCCATGTCCTGTCTACGCACCGTCTCTCTCTCCGTCTGCCTGTCTGTCCGTCTGTCTGTCTGCCTGAGAGCCGATGGGTCAGTGAGTGAGTCAGAAATCGACCCCCCTGACGGCCTTGGTGAGCCTGACGTTGTGGTCGGTCTTGTCCCTGTGCCGCGTGGCCTGCCGCCTCGTCCATGAGGCGCTCTTGGTCAGCGCCCACTCAGCCTTGCCCTTGTCCACACCCACATTGCGCAGAGAACGGGCCCGGACCCCATCTGCAGTTGGACAGACAAGACACCAGACAAGACACCAGCCGGACACACAGGCCGCAGAACCAGCCAACACGTGTAGAACATCCGTAGGCCAGCCATGTTATATACTCGCCTTTGTATGCCATGTCCATGTCCGTCTCGGCCAGTTTCTTCTCCCTGTATGCGCCACAGCATACACAGATGCCGTTAGTGGGCTAGCGAGTCATGCCCCCCCACCCCTCCCCCCCTCCCACCGGCAGCGGCCTCACCTTTGCCTGGCCTTGAGCTTGCTCCGCCGTGCGCGCAGCTGCTCACGCTGCACCTCATCTGAACCACAAGACAGACAGACAGACAGACGTGGATGCTTGCTCCCTTCTTTCTTTCTGTGGCCTCTGCTGCCCCTCCCTCCACCCCACCCACGCCGCACCAGGCGATTTGGTGTCTTCCCACCACTCCTTGACCTTGCCAGACTTGTCCTTGATGAACCTGCTCACCCAAACACAACACACATACACCCATACACACCCAGGGAGGGCACCCGCTGCCTGTCTGCCTCCCTCTCTCCCGTCTCAGATCCATCCATCCACCAGCCCGCCACCACCGCTCACCCGGTGTCCTGTAGTGTGAACGGCTCCTCCTCCTCAGGGTTGGCGCGCAGCTGCACTGACCTGCCGCTGCGACGCCCCAGTGCCGCTGGAGGCATCATGTCACTCTCCCCCGAATCGCCCAGCCACGACAGGTCGGGAGTAGACGAGGGGGGCAGGTCGGCCGAGGGGCGGGATGGCGACGATGACGCAGAAGGTTCGTCATCCTAAAGCAAGAGCAGCAGGGTTGGGCGGTGGTTTGCGTGTGTTGTGTGGTGGGGCCACCTACACCCAGACCTACCTGATGCCATGGGTCGTCTTCCTCTGGTGGCCAGTGTGGTGGTGATTCGTGTGTCGTCCGTGTGGTGCGGCTGGTGCGGGAGGGGGTGAACTTCTTGAGCAGCTGTGCCACGCGCTGCTCCTCTTCCTCGTCGGGCGTCAGGGGCTGCGCACGCAACTCAGTGGTGGCCGGCTGCACGTCAGAAACTGACCATTGACCACACAACCGTCAGACACCAGATCAGGGCTGGGTATGAGCGGGAGAGTCGTGGGCTCACTCGCACACCTGTGCTGTCGTCATTGTCGTCGTGGAGATCGATATAGGGATGCGACGGCGGCCCCTTGGCTGCTGCTGCTGCTGCTGCTGCTGGCTGTGACGCCGGCCACGGCCCACTGCTGCCGAAGTGCACCACCTCATCCTGGGTCTCTCCATCTCCCTCTCGCCCTCTCGCCGTCATCATCTTGGCCTGGGCCTTCTCCTCCTCCTTCTTGCGTTGGTGCGCCTTCTTGCCGTCGATGACCTTGCCGTCCAGCTGGGTGATGACCGGATGGTAGTAGCGAACCGCACCCTGATTGAGGCGCAGACAGACAACAGACAACAGACAGGAGGCAGGCAGATACAGATGTAGACGTGTTCATGGTGTGGGCGGCTGACCAGGTCGGTGAGGATCTGCCGTGCCTGCTCGGGCGTCACGCGGTTCATCTGGCCCTCCAGCTGACGGCAGAAGCCTGAGTGGCGACCACACACACGAGAGAGAGGGGGGG